TTTGCACTATACAGTATAACATTGAGAATATACGTATGTACTGTACTTTGACTTTGAGAGAGTAAGTGTTATTATTACTTGTATCATTTTGTTTTACAGCTGTCAGAGTTAAGTGGAGTTCCTGCTGAGTATATCTGTTGTTCACAGGTTAACCATTGAAACATGTATGTATTATTATTCTCCCTCATTCTATTAGGGAAGATCATTTCCAGTTGAGATATCATGTCTTGATATTGAGAATGAGTTGAGATGGTATTCCATCACTTCAGACAGATACTCATTATTAGGACTATATGATGATGGAAATGTCCTATATTACAAGTACTACTGAACACACACACACATTATGTATACACACACACTTACATACACCTCTTACTGTTTATAATTATTTAGAGACAATAGAGAGACAATGAAAGAGTTAACAGATAAAGAGAGATCAGAAATACTAGAGGCAGAGGCAGCAAGGTCAGTAAACCTCATGTATCATCATGTACATGTACTATCAGTTAATGTGTATATATTTACATTACCGTATAAGTGGTTTTTTCGAGGGTTGAAAATTTTGCAGATTTCTTCCTGATTCGCAAAAAATAGAATCCAATTTAATACGGTACTGCATGGCACACGTGGTAGAATTCACGAAATTAGAATTTAGAATTTGCAAATTGGATTAGTAGTAGATTAGATCAGTAGATTTTCTGAAATATATATAATTCCCTTGAAAAAACCACTTACCGTGCAAGATGATTTATTGGCGGGAGTAATATTTGGTGGATTTTATATTGGCGGTTTTGTGCCACGTGCCATTGAGCATGCTCAGATTGAAACAAAATGACTGATTTTATATTGGCAATTTCTTCATAGAACCGCCAACCACAAATATTAATTCCTCGCCAATAAATCATCTTGTACGGTATACGTTAGTATAATCATTATAGTTTGATGTAGGTATAGGTTTGTTGATTAAACCATTTCTCTTTTATTCATTTTCACTAAACAAAATTATTGATTACAAATCTTGTGATCAGCTTTCATTTTAATTACAAACTTAAGATTAATGTACTCATTTTATTGTATTCTAGGTTAAAGAGGATTGTGGAAATTGAAG